AACCATGTCTCAATCCCTGTATCCCAGAGCCCTGTTGTTCCAAGGTTGTGCATACATCATTATTTACCTCTGTCCCACTTAGCCCATGCAAACCTGCTTAATTGTTTTCCCATCCACTTTGTTCTTCCATTCCCCTCTCCATTCTTGTGTATTGCTCCCCTCCCTAGCACCCAAACTATCCAGTGTCTATTCCCTACCCTATGCTCCACCTTCCCCTTCCTCCCCTCACCCCAACCAAGCACACAGCCCTTTTCCCTCCCTTAGTCCAGTATCCTCAGCCACTCCATCTGTCCACATCATAGTCTCTGACTCCATACTTGGGATCACTGCCTCTCTGGGCAGGATCCCGCTCTCCATTCTTCTCACTTGATGGTCCCAGGGACCTCTTCTCCTAGGCTACAAAATCAATCATTCCCTTCCTTTTGTCAGAAAACATCTACCTCTATATTTCCTACCCTCACAGTCAGTCCTGATGGCAATTATTCACTATTGTACCACAAGTGTCTTATCCCCATTTCCTTTTTCCAGCCCGATCCCAACGGATTGGAAAATATTCAGTAGTGATTCTACCTCCCCCGCTCCATCTGGAACTAGGCTACCTCTTGAAAGCTTGTAAGCCAGTCACTTCTTGCCTTTACAGCCCCTCTTCCCCAATTTTGGGTAGCCAATGTCTAAATTGCCCATCCCTGTCAACCCTGTGTACTAAGGGGGTGGGAGTGATCCTCGCTGTAAAGATTTGTTCCCTTTTTTGAGCTACTACATCCATACGTATAGTTAAAGTTCATGAAATTGTAGCAGGTTACTCTTTTTTTTTCCCCCCTCTTCTTTCTTCTTCTGATTGAATTCTGATCATCCAGCCACTGAAGCCAGGTCAAGTGGGTACTATCTGCAAGTATGGGTGTTCTTGAGTGTCTCTCCTCACCTCATATCAGCTGGATGCTTCACTCTCTGCTCTAGTCCTCTGTGGCCATGTCACAGGAGTTGCCAGGTCTTTCCATACTGCTTGCCATCCAAATTAAAATTTAAAAACTTACGTGCATCAAAACACTTCACAAAAACAGTAAAAAGGGAACCCACAGAATGGGGAAAATCTTTTGCAATGATACATCAGACAAAGGACTCATTTCTAAAATATATAGGTAACTACAAAACCTCTACAAGAAAAAGACAAATAACCCAATT